GAAGGGCCTTTGAGAAGTGATTAGGTTATATGAGCAGAGCCCTTGGAAATGGGATCAGTGTCCCTGTAAAAGAGACTCCAAAGAGTTGCCTAACCCTTTCCTTCTGCCATGGGAGGTTATAGCGAGAAGATGGCCAACTACAAACCAGGAAGTGGGTTCTCACCAGACACTGGATCTGCCAGCACCTTGATCTTGGACTTCCCAGCCTCCGGAGCTTTGTGAAATAACTTTGTTGTTTATAAGGCAACCAGTCTATGGTGTTCTGTGATAGCAGCCTGAACGAACTAAGACAGGTCCAGATACAGTTCTAGCATGTTGGCTATTTTCCATTTGTCCCCCTACCCTTAGAGACATTCCCCATTATTTAGTTCATCCAATAACAGGACTGGCAGGAGTTCAGAGGGCAGCAGGAGACAGAGATATTTATCCTTTTGTCCCTCTTTCCAGCCTGCTGTGCTAGTCACAGCTCTGTCAGCCTGTCCCTCCTCCATAAAGTCAGCTCCCACTGGGCTCCACGCACTTGCTGTCACTCCAGTTGCCCCTTTGGTCTAGCAGTCGTGACAGCAGAGGATGCTTCAACATCCCTTGTCTGTCTCCTTAGTCTTCAGTAAGTAGTTCCTTCATGAAAGCCTGTTCAGTTGAACCTCCTGAGTGTTAACTCTGCTTCCTGCCAGGGCCCTGACAGACACAGAGCTCTCTGGAGCATCATCGTGCATACACTGAATTGATCACTCAACACTTATTAAGTGAATACAGTGAAAAAAATATTGTTCTAGGGACAATATAGATATAAGATAAAAAAAGATTCCATTTATTATCCTCAAGAAGCTCTATTAGCATAAAGAAGATTTGGGTTGACTAAAAACTTTTAAGGAAAATTATTCGGTATAACTATTTTAATTTCTATATGTAATTTTATTGATCTCAGGTGTCAAATAGGTACAAGCCTCTGGTCAATGTCTCCAGTTTCCTGAAGGAGTCTCCTCTAGTTCACCACCACTAGATTAAAATGCCAAGGTTTCTTCAAACGATCGTAAATAAGCTCGTTAAAAACCTAGAACCAATTACTTCACCTGAAAATGCATACTTTTACATTCTAACCAGGTATTCTCACATACAAATGTTTACCTTGGCGTCCTTCTGTGGGGGATAGACACACACATGCAAGTACGAAATTCTCCCTTAGCATGAAGATTTTGGAGAGTAGGGGTCTGCCTCATTCTCCCATGTGGCCTCCAGAGTTCTCACACGGTAGAGAGTGAACCAATTTTTCAATGACAAGCTATGGGCGGCACAGCATGGTGGATGAGAGTACAAACTTTACCTAGGTTTGAAACCCAGCTATGCCACTTTCTAGCTGAATGACCTGGAGCAAATTACTAAAATCTCTGCCTTCGTTTCTTCACCTAAAAAAAACATCACCCTGATTAAATGAGTTATTTGGAAAGTACTTAGGGTAGTATGTGTCCCATAGTAAGAGCAAAGTACTTGTTAAATAAATAAAGTGATGCTGTTTTGTATATCACCAGGAGATACTGTAACTTGAATGGATCTTAAGAGATATAATTCTCTCATTTTATAGATGAAGCCCAGGAGAATTAATGCAATGAGCTAGTACAGAAGATGCGACTGCCCCAGATAACCTCGCTCCTAAGAAGATTCACTCACTGATACAGCAGGCTTTAGAAAGAAATGGAGCAATTTTATCTAACCAAACAAATAAAAATCTTTGTTTCCGGGGACTAACCATTTTGGAAAACGTTTAATCATGAATGGATTAATTTCTATTCTCCAAGAAACATCTTGACTTTATTATCATCGAAAACAACTGTCAGCCCTATGAAGGCTCTGAGATTTTTACCTTACTTGCAAGCCAGCAAGTTAGCCTACACCATTCGTGAATGCTGACAGAAGACACAAGATGGTTAGGTCTCAAAGAACTACATTATTTACAGCATTCACAGTAGCCATAACATCAGCATTTTCTCATGCCAGTTCCCTGAACACAGGTAGATAAGGTCAGGTGATATCTGCACATTCAGTGAATCGCAAAAACAAGAGGAACCCTGAATTTAGGGAACTCCAATCTTTTATATTGGTAAGCCTGCCTGCCTTTTGCTCCGAAGGGAGACGGCATCTCTATTTTCCAAGACTGTTCACTATATAAACATCCTTCAAAAGATAGTCTAGAAAAAGCAGTCAGTGCCTCTGCTTGCTAGAAATGCAGAAACACAAAAGAGCTATGGAGAATCTCTCTCAACAATTTCTACCCTTCCCTTCTATACCACCTTGGTTTGGGGCAAATTTTCATGAATACATCATTCTATCAATCACTCTGATTAATCCATCTGACAGAGGCTAAGATCAGTCTGTTTAATGTCTCACATAGCATTTAATTAAAACCACAGCCAACAGGACCCCAGGTAGAAGGAAGAGGCCAATTTCAACCATGTTCCAGGAGCCTGTACTCGGCTAGCTAAACAAATTCCACAAACCATCAGAGTTCATCTTCAAAAGTCAGATGGACCTGAACTGCCACTCCCTGAAGTAAATTTGCACAGGTGGCAAATAATAACCAACAAGTTGTTCCATGAGCATAAAACCAAAACAAGGGCAGTTAAACTTATTTGAACCAAAGCCTTATGCATTACCAACTGGAGAACAGTTTGTATATTGGCAAGGATACTTAAAACACACTGGCCAAGATTCTCTTCAAAGGAGATCCCTTTTTGATAGACTTCCACACTGCCCGCCCCTTTCCCAGGCTGTATGTTTTCCATTACTAAGTAACAAAGTACTACACATTTAGTAGCTTCAGACAATAGTCATATACAATCTCACAGCGAGGAGCCTGGGAACGGCTTAGCTGGGTCCTCTTCAAAGCTGCACATGAGATGGTGAACACACCTGGGTTCTCACCTGTAGACTCAACTCAGGAGGGGTCTAAACTCAGTCTACTAGCAAGAGGGCGTCTTACATAACATAATCACAGGAGCAACTTCCATCACTTTTCCACAGTCTATTGGTTACCAGCAAGTTACAAGTGCTGCCCACATTGAGAGAGTAGAGATTAAAAAAAGGCATGAATATGATCAGGAAGTGATCACGGGGGAATCTGCTCTAGAGTCTACTGCCACATCACGCCATATCCTTGCTTACATTGTTAGATCATCTGATTTTCTCCCAAAAGCCAAAAATCTGTATTTTTCATGGGAAATCACCCAGTCATATATAACATTCCCCCCCCATCCCCCCAAAAAATTAACTCCATGCAGGTGAACTAAAACATGTCGGCTGGATCTGACTGAGCCGCCAGTTTCTAACCTCCACTTATTTAAGGTGCTTATTTTTCTACTGTGGTTCGTTCTGTATTTTTTCAGTTTGAATTGCAGGGACTAATCTTATTTCCTTTACTTCCAAAGTCTGGAGGTGCTACATCACTGTACTCCCTAAGAACTGACCATATCCAGGAAAAAAAGGCTTCTCTTAGGCTATATGAATCTCTCCTCCCCAGCCTTTCTTTTGAGATCCCACCCCATGCTTGCCTTTTGTCTGTAGACTGAAGGACATTCTGAGGGAAACAGGGAAGGACATTCTGAGGGAAACATCTCTTTTTCACCAGACTCTTCCCCCAACTCTTAAATGTCAAGAAGAAAAAAGGCATTTTTTTTCTCATTGTTTATTTTATTCTTTTGTACACCTGTCATTTTCTCCAAGTATGAATGAAAGCAAGAAAGGGCAAACATGGAAACTAGTTTACCTTGATGCTTCCTGGAGCTGAATTAAAATTTAACATGCCCTGAAACTGCAGGAATCCTAAGGAAATAAAAATACTGTCTTTACTTTGAAAGCTACAAAAAGGGTACTATACGGAAAGATGGTTTGGTAAGGTGCTTGGGGATGAGGAGACAGACCATCCCCTCCTCCTCTCCTCCTCCTCATCAAGGGCCAGGCGCTAACGGCAGATGGTGGTTAAACTACCTTCTAAGGATGGGTACCGGGCCTCGGATGCCTGGGTAAGTATACAAAGTTGTGGCCTCTCTGAAATGCAGGCCAACAAATTTAAAGATTGTCATGTTGAATAGACATCAAATTAGCTTGCCTGGGGCTTGTATCTATTTCAGTCCAGCCTTGGTGCTTCCCACTATAGTTGGAAAACCACAAAAAAGTTGCTTGGGATGAGAAAGGGAGGAGCTGAGACTTTTTCAGTCCTCTGATGGGTGAGGTAAAGAGAAAATGTGATCTGAAGCTGTAAGCTGTGAAAATGGAGGATCAAGACAGGTAGATTCATCTCTGGAAGTTTCAAAAAAAAAAAAAACAAAAAACCCACGAAGAGAACGAACTGGCCTAGAATGGGTATTCTGAGGGTTCGAATAAGATAAGCCCCACTGCTTAATAGCAGATAGAACTCTCAGAACACACCCATCGGAACTAGGAGATACAGTCCTGGCAATCTAAGTTTGGACTCTTGAGTGTATCCTCATCTAAAAGCACCCATGATATATAAATTCAACACACTATCCACACAATGCTACACTTTGGTTACATCCTGGATTTAACAGGGTTTAGATAGCAGCCTGGTGTCCTAATCACCAGGTTCAACGCTGTTTCTGAAATGCTTCCCAGTACTAGGTTACAAACAAGCTTGGAACACATAAATTAGGAATGAATGACCTGAGTCAAAGACCTCATACTGTATAACAACTACAACCTGACACTAAAGTGGACCCATTATTATTTCTTTACTGTTCATTTCTTAGTAAGTTTATCTGTTGATATCAAAATGAACTAGTAAATAAGTTGCATTTATATTTTCTGATTTGTAAAGGTATTTAAGTACTTAAAACACTTAGCATATTTAGTGCTATGACATGTAAAATTTTAGAAAGTAGTAAACTCTGAAAACCTGGTATACACTCAAAAGTCAACCAAATGAAGTACAAACCAAGAGTTAATAAGCAAAAATCAATGAAAATGACATAATGGCTATGCCCACTTACCTCAGGAAATAATGGTTATCCTTAACTTTCCTCTTTTTTTCCCCTTTTTGTGGGGAGAGGGCAGGATTGTAGGGCATAACATTTCTCATACACTAGATTTAAACAAAACACATAATTCTTTGAATCAGTGCTCACATGTTCAATTGAGATACTTTCAGATCTGGTAAGGGGAAAGAAAATTTTATATCCTTGATGTCCTTAATTCTTACCAATCATGTAAAAGTATAAAAGGTATTTTTTGAAAGTTAAAAAAAAAAAAAAATGGTGACTAGCCAGTCACTCATTCTCCATCTCTAAATAATTAGTTTTAATATAATGATTATATGGAAAACAAAACTTGTTGCAGCAGATTGATACATTGGGGGACAATATGAGCAAAATGCAATTTCAGTGTTTAGGCACGATTTCATGCAGAAGAAACATTAGGTGAAATGCCAAAAACTGCACCTAGCTGAACTGAGCTATGCAGAAACACACACACACACACACTCACTCACTCACTCACTCACTCACTCACACCACAAGATCCTCAGTTCACTGCTGGGGCTGAATTAAACTCACCTAAATCTGGTGTCACAACCTGCCCTCTGATCTCAGCAGTCCTTCCTTCCACCTTCACAGCAACTCACAAGGCACAACTCTGCCAACATCCACTTCCACAGGCATCCTTCAGGTCTTTTTTAAGGCCATATTTATTGTAATATTTATAGATTTATTAACCATTTAACTATGTGGAAAACTGTGCTCTTTTTATTAGGTTCCTATTTTTATTCTGAAGTGTATAATGGTTAAAGTTTTGGTGTTGTGTCTCTAACCCTGTTTTCCCCATAAACCTTAAGGCTTTTTTATTCCTCAATTATGCACAGCACAGTGATATTTAGAACACAGATGTGCATACAGCAGAATTTACTGTACTGTGAGCTCCATTTCATCCAAATTATAATAATTCAAGTCCAATATACAAGAGTTATCTGCTAGAAACCATCACCGACATTCAGGTTTCTCTTAAGTTGATTTTAAGACTTCTGTATAGAATTTTACATTTCTCAAACAGCTCTTGTAATAAATATCTAGGAAAAAAATGAGTTATAAGCAGCACTTGATTAATAAGCCATGAATTACTAGATAAAAAGAACTTAAAAATAACATTTTCAAAGATATTAAACAGTTATTTAAGTCTTGTTACTCAATTTTAATTTAGTGATGGTTACCTCAGTCAAAAATAGAAAAGAGCACTTTAATGTTTTTAATCTCAAAATGTTTACTTTTAACAAAACTGCTAAAAAGTACTACCTAAATTCACCTGCTTTAGCTATTAATCTATCCTCTTTTGCTTAATTTTTTGAGAATGTTGAATTTATAACATAATAAAACAAACATTTAACATAAACCGGACACTTATCCAATTTCAATGTTCCTCACTAAAAGCATAAACGGAACCACATTCCAATAAATACTCTTCAGGAATAAAAATTTGGGGGTATTTCTGCCTTTCAAACATAAAGTCAGCATAGTTAAATATATATACATGCTGGATGGAAGTTAAAATAAAAACAGAATTTTGCTCCTATCATGCTAAAAACCTGAAGGAAATTACTCACTTTCAAATACATGTAAGGCACGAAAAGAAGCAATACTCCTTAGTTTGATGGAACCAGCAACAGTGCAATAATTTAACTTGCAGCCTAATCTAATTTCATTCCAGATACCAGAAGTCTTCCTATTTCAAATACATATTTAACTTAACTGGAAGAGAAGCCACTGGCCTACCTCCCCTCTCTCGAGTAAAATAATATTTGGCAACCACATAAATGAAACTGTCCTGATGTTTTGATATTAATACATTTTACTAAGACCAATCAGAATCTAAGTAATCTTTTATATAGAATAAAAAAAAACCTTAACTGTAGAAGCAAAAATTGGTCATCAGTATGTCGTAAGTACTTTTTTTTATATAAAATCCAACCCGTATTCACTCCTAGAGTTATTCTTGAACGATTATGAGACAGCAAAAAAGATTCTAAAAAGGTAGTGACGATTCCTGCTTACAAAGGGAGAATCTAACAACCAGTGAAAAATAATTGGACAACAATTTGTCTTTCCTTCTCTATAAAAAAACTTACCTACTTCACTCAATACCTGATAGAAGCCTTCTTTTATAAGATTCCCTTACATAACGAATTTAGGATTTTTTTTCAGTGCCAGTGAAGTCTCTAATTTTCTGAAGTGCAAGCAAGAAAATTAAAAACAAAGATATTTTATTCTGGAAACTTTTATATAACTATGTAAAATAATGGATACATAAAACTGATACACAAAGGAAAAAGTTGATTAGAAAAAAAATTCTTTTTTTAGCTAGCTAATGTTTATATTAGTAATATGAAACTAAACGATGTATAATGGCATTTTTCTAGGCCACCTATTTGTAATGGAAAAAAAATGCCAATGCTGATTTTGTACCTTACTTGGAATATTAGAAAAAGCCTCTTAGCCAGCACCAAAGACGGAAACCGCTAGTTTCCATAGTTTTCTAACATCTAACACAATCTGCTTTCCTAGTAAACAAAACAGCTAAAGGATGGCTGTAGTACGCTGGCCTCCATCATCATTTTCAGGTCAGTAAGACCAAGGCTACTACTTTGCCTATAGGAACATCAAGAATCAAACTTCATAAAGTCAGATGCTACCTACCTCCTCTTTAGTCTGAATATACCAAAACAGTATATGCTTCAGAGCTGTATTTTTTTCTCCCAAATTGGCACCAAGGAAGTGAAAGTACTATCAGATGAACGCACTTCTACCTGGAGTGCAGATGTTCCTGGTGGGGTCACTCAAACATAAACAAAAGGCTCGAGTTTACTAATGGAAATAAAATATCCCCAGATTACTTTCAGGAAGTATATTGTTATGACCTTGTGCTACAAATCACGTTCCCAAATTTCAGCACCACGGTCTTTAATCCCATTCCCACTCTTTTTCCTCCCGGAAGCTGTAAGAGGGTAATTTCAGTGGCATCAGTTGAGTTATTCATGCTGAATGGCAGGGATATTTAAGGTACACAGAGGGAGAGGAACTGAGGAAGAGAACCCCAGAAAACCTCTACAATGTAATTTAGTTCTTACTCTTCAACCAAAAGTACCACTACTTCCATTACAAGAAACCCATGTGGTGACAAAGTGATACAATATACAATGCAAATTAATGAAACTCTTTCATCATGTGCCAGCTACCATTTATAGAAATGAACTTGTTATAATGAAGTCTCTTTGGTAAATATGATGTGAATTTACCTGGATTCTTGATTGCAACTTCTTCGGTCATTTTTAGCAACTCCTTTAGAACATGTTATCATTATATTGTTAAATTACAGAATATCAAAGATACTTGTACTGAAAAGTTCTTTTCTCTGAGAGAAGAAATACAAATTCCAAAACAGTACGTAGGTTTTTCTTTCTGACTCTGGTTCTGAGGAAAACAACCATTAACATATGGATGTGTCATAATACTTGGCATTTTAACTGGATAACAGATATTACACGTAATTGAAAACATTCTCAACTGTTAATACACCACATCTTTTTAAAGTAATGATCCTGCATTTAAGAAATTTCATATATCCTGCCACAAAAACAATGAATTAGAAATATTTATTCTATTTCTTTTAAAGCCATTAACTAACTGAAATAACGTAAGGCCCTAAACCAGCTATTTAGTAATCTGAGTGTACATTACTATAACTTGAATGTGTTTCTAACTTGACTGTGGTTATAAATTTTACTCGGCCTGATTCCAATTTTGTAACTAACTTTGAGGAAAATAAGTAACAATTAGAACTTTTAAAAAGAAAGGACTTTCCTTCCTCTTTAGTACTTGCAATATCTTACTAGATGACTATAAGGTAATGAGAAGTCTTTTAAAACAAACATGCCCAAATGTATGCATCCAAAAACAAAGTCCTAGAATTGTTGATTACATTTTTAAAAACACCTAAAAGCCATCCAGAGTAAATCAGGTAGATGACTAAGGTTGAGAAAAGCTGATTTTGGTTTGAATGGGGGAAAAGGGAGGCTATATATATATTTTTAAAGCACAAATTTTCTTCCATGACTCTGAATGCAATTCAAAATGAAGACCACAAAACCGTACTGAGCTATGGTAGCATCAATGGCCTAAGTGGATAGTCTGTTACACAGGGCAACTACACTTTAAGGTTAACAATGTTCATTTATGTGTATAGTTTTCTGATATGAGCCTGAAAAACTTAGATTCATCATTCTTAACCATAAATCATATGGTTCTGATTATAATTCTTTTAGGATTGAGTAATAATAGATTTTGAGAATAGAGCATCAAGTAACACCATGAAGAAAGAAGAGATAAATCCAGAATGTGGGACATTTTATGAGACAAGTATTATGAAGGAAAAAAAAAATACAAGGAAATTAATTTAGATGAACAGAGAATAAAGGGACATAAAAAAAAGGTGTTATATGTTCCTAGATTTTTTCTTTTTAATGTATAAAAGACAGTTTCTGGGACATCTGTAACACATATTATAGAATTAGTTAATTTTCTTAGATGTCTGTACCTACCCTTAGGAGAATGTACTTTCCTTAACAAGATACATGATGAAATATTTAGTAGTTTACAATAACTTGTCTATTCAAACAATAAGATATATATGAATACACACAGACATACCTACACACATACATATATATACATATATGTAAACATACATAAAGAAATAAAAAATGTGACAAAATGTTAATGATTAGTGACTCTAGATGAAGAATATTTGGGTGTTTAATGTATTATTCTTTTAATCTTTCTGTAGGTCTGAAGATTCTCAACATAAAAAGTTGCTGGGAAAAGCGCCACATATGATATCAGATACTTACTTCAAGGGGCCAAGTTAGTAATATCCCACTCCCTCTGTTTAATCTTAACCTCTAAAACAGTGGTCTCCAAATCGGGTACACACATCCTAGGCATAGACTAAAAAACCAAAGATACAGGAAGAAAATATTAATTTTCTATTAATAATTTTTTCACCCACCCTCTTAAGATTTCTAACTTTTGGTGTGTTTTATAATGTAAAATATATGTTTATACAGTAGAACTTGCACGATTTCGAAGTACATACATATTCTGGGGCTATATACTCAAAACTATGCTGGTGATGAGGGTATCAGATCAAAAAATTAGGATTTTACTTTTTAAAAAATAAAATATTTTTTTCTAAAGTCTCTGATCGCCAAAAGATCATTAAAACCAGTACCTTTTGCTTTTGTCCAGGGGCTTGCTGACTCTTAATAATGTAATATGTAATCTTAAGCAGAAATTCTGTGAGTCTATAAGAAGCAGCAAACAGACAATGATGGCAGTGGGAAGTATTAGCACAAAATAGGGTCAGTAAATCATCAAAGCCCAGTTATCACCAATAAAGTGTTAAATTTTCTTCAGCAAGGAAATCTAAGATTTTAAATATTGTATTTAAAATGCTCTGTAACATCATAAGGAAAGCTAGGAAAACTCCAAAAAAACTACTATGCTTTATAACTTCAAAGGAAGATCATACTAAAAAAAACCCATAAAACTCAGTTTGCTTAAGAACCAGGGGGCACATGTCATTATAAATAGTATAGAAAATACTCTATAAACACCTGACAAGAACACTTAATCGAACAATGATTCTAAATAAAAGATAACTAAACATAAGGCCTTTCAGAAAATATTTAGGTAAGTTTCTTCTATATATTTTATTCTAAGGGGTACAAGCAGTTAATTAACAACAACAAAAATAGAAAATGATACGAGTGAAAATTTTAAACTATATTCTTAAATAATTAAAAAGTGATAACAGGAAGCTATAATTATTAGTACAATTGGTAAGTAAACCAAGGAAATATATAAGAAGAAAACTGATTTTCGTGCATTAAACAGATAAAACCCTAACCAAATATACCAATGCACTTCATTTTAGAAAACAATTTATATAGGTTTTATAGCTGCATAGTTTATCATAGAGGGTACTAATTTGTCTTATATAAACTTGAAGCTTTGGACTAAAGATGTTTTTCAATTTGAATTATACATGTCATATATAAAAACTGTATCTATCAGAAAAGAATACCAGTGGTCTATTAAACATTTTAAACACAAAAATTAAGAGATGTGGAAACAAAGCTTCAGAAGTTTCTAACATAAAGAAGGGCATCTATAGGCACGTAATAAGGTCTTTCGCTGAGTAGGAGGGACAGGTAACAGTGAAGGAGGACCACGGAGTTAGAAAAGACTATAAAATCACAGTAAGTACATATCATATATTGCTCCTAGTACGTTTAGGGCATTGACATACATTATCACATCAAACTGGCCATGGGGTTTGCAGGCTATTTATGCCAGACAGTAACTGAACTGAATTTTTCCATTCAGATGTCACTGGTTTATGGATACACAAACTTTTTAATAAAATAAACTGAGAAGTAAAACCTGCTTCACAGAAATTCACATTATAGTTAGTGCGTTTTATACATAATTCTATTCCTTTTTTAAAAAAGATAGTTACAGTTTAAAGAAAAGTATTTTTGAAAGTATAACACATACACTGGTCTCAGAACAAAATCACTGTGCTCCTAAATGGTCTTTTCCTATTCTTGTCCTTGCCACGTCATCTGAAAGACAGAAAATCCAGTGCTTCCTTTTCATTGGCATTTTTTCCATCTGGTATTTTTCCATCTAACAAATGAAAAGCACACACCGATATAATATCAGTTTTAAGTATTCATCACAAACTTTTATAAGCATATATAGTAATAGGTTAAAAAAATGTATATGCACTGTAATAAGGGTAGTTTTCATTTTACCATTCTTTGACTTTTACAGGGCAAAAAGTGAACATGTAATTGATTTTATAGCATGAAAGATCTCAAAATAAAATGGGGAAATGATACATTTGCTATTAGTAAATAGGAATTTATCAAAAGACAAAGAGAAAAATACAACATGACTTGGGAAAAAGTGTATCAGTTAAACTAGAATATTCAAAGTGGAATGAAGATTACAATCTGACAAAGTCTATCAAAAAAACATATTAAAATTTTTTAATGTAAAGTTTGAATTCAAATTTAAAAATTATTATCTAAGAGCAACAAAAAGTCCGAAAAACACAACATCAGGGTAAAACACTTATGCTGAAGATGGTGCTTTAAATTTGAACCTATAAAATTGGTCACCATTAAGATTCTTTGTCAAAGATGGAATTATTTGTCAAAAGAGAAAGAAACAAGTTATCTGATTAGAACGGGCAGAAAATACAAATTAAATGTTCATTTATGGTGTGAAACCTGTTAAATCAATTCCTTTAATATGATACCCAACTCGATTTTTCAGTTGTTTAAATAAGTGTTAAATAATAGCATAGCACAACCAGGAAAATTATAAATATTTAGGATTAAAATGTCAGTGTAAAACACATTTCATATGGATCAAAAGAAAAACATTCATTCAAAAATGCTCCTGAATAGGAAGCCAACATAATTCCATTAGAACTCTGAGAGAGAGCAGCCCCATAATCGAGTTTGAAAGATAAGAATAAATATACAAACTGTTAAGCAAAGCCAGGAATATTGATTACTTTGAAACATCTACTTATATCCATTTTAATGAAGAATTAAAGGATACAATGTGTTAAAGACATATATAAAAGACTAGTAGTGGGATAAGACAGATGAATCGATTTTTTTTTAATGTCCTAAATAACTACAAGAGACTGAAAATGTAGTGTTATTCATGGTTTCTTTCCAGTTTAAAAATTTCTATCCATTGCCTCTATCTTTGGCGTCACTGCCACCAATAAACACAGTATACAGCTTATAAACCTAATTACTATCTTCAACTAGGAAAAAGTAAATCAACATTATTTCTTTAAAAATAAGATACAAAGAACGTGATCCTACTTAATTTTGTCTCATGGACCCACAATATTCTGCAATATCATGCCAAAATGTAAAAGTTTAAAAGGGAACATCGTTTGCTGTTACTGCACCAAAAATTTAGCTACTGTATGCTGGTGTGATGACAGCTAGTAGTATGCAGAGGCTATAGAAGGACATAATATACATATGTTTAGCTCACAAGTAGTCGAAGGAAGGTTCAGTTTAATGTGAAACTGAAATAGCGACAACATAATTCCTCATGTAAATATGCTACAGCTTTGTTCTTACAGTTTAAAAGGATAGTGTAATTATCTTAAATTTACACAAAACATTATGAAACACGGTAGTTGTTCATGATTAAAATAACAATGTAAATTAATTTAACAGTGTTAAATATATTCACATGATCACCACTGTGATTCTGAATGACCACTAATGAAGTTACATAGCAATATATGTACATAACGTTTGCCACAACAGTTTTCATTAGTTTGACTTTTTGCAGATCGGGTAATTCTATGAGACGATTCTTTCGTATTATGAAAGAATTAAATGTTGTAAGTAGTTTCATTCCTCTGGGGGAGGGGGAGGGGAGAACCTCTAAAAAGTCAGTGCAAATTGAAGAGAGTTCTACCTTCCTGAATATTTGAACTTGTTGACCAAGACAGATTCCTATAAGCTGAGGATAAACTTTAAAATATCAAAGAATCTCATAACATTGTCAGCGGCATTTAGCAGATATTTGCCACAAAGAGGTATCCCAAATCCTATAGCAGAGCCTTCTGAGAATATGGTTGCTGCGGTTGAGGTGGCGGTTGGCTGCCTCCTGGCTGAGGCAGCGTTGATGATGTTAAATTATAGTTGGGCACATGGGACATATTAGTTCCTGCATTCTGGTATATAGTGGCATCAGCAGCAGCAGCAGCAGCAGCAGCAGCAGGAGGAGGGCTGTATACTGAAGCCTGGTTGGGATATGTATTTCCTTGAACAGAACTGACCATCGTGCTGTGGAGGGAAAGAAAAAACACTCAATTAGATCGATATTGACTTACATACCAATTTAGAGAGAAAAAGGAAAGCTATTCATTAAACAGTCAATAAATATTTATTAAATACCTATAATGTGCCAAATACTTATTTTAAGCACTGGGAATATTATAAAGAAGGAAAAAAAAGTCTCTCTCATCATGGAGCTTATATTCTAGTAAAAGAAAAAAGATAATAAACAAATTTATAACATGTCAAGTGGTAATAACTGGTACACAGAAAAATAAAACAGAGTAGGAGACCATCAGTTCCTGAAACAAGAGATCCTGGCTTATCTAGGGTGGCAGGGGAAGAAGTCTCAGATAAGGCAACATTTAAGCAGAGACCTGAAAAAATTGAGAGCGGGAGTCATATCAATTACCTAGCAGGGAAAAAGCTTACCACGCAAAGAGAATGAATGGCAAGCACAGAAGCCTTTGAGAAAAGAAATGCCAGACATGTTCAAGGAACAGAAAGGAGGCCATGACGGCTGAAGCAGAGTGAACAGAGTAAAAAGCAGCACAAGATAAAGTGGCAGAACTGAAGGGGAGAACAGCATCAAGGTGTTACAGCTCTATAGCACGGCTTGCTTAACGCATCTACCAAAGGATTCTCTCATTTACAAGGAAATTCCTCACGGCCCTGAACTAAGAATGAGCCCCATGTAATCTCCAGGAACAAGGTAGGTAGGGTAGCATGTGACACAATAACAGAGGACTTGCTGAGGAAGGAAGAGGTAGCATTTCTGGATAACGCTAAAATATCTAAGGGGTTCCTACATAATTCACGCACACAGGCTGATTTCTCGACAATACCTACCTCTACTCCATATCTGGTTTTAAGGCAGTGTGCTATTCTTCTAACAATAGCTGCTCCCTACCTGTTTGCTTATTTTCTATGTAAGAGTATTCATTTTCATCAAATTTCAACTTAAAAGAAAGAAGTTCTGGGGGAAAAAAGCTACATCTAAAATTTTTTTGCCTGGGCTATATAACCCAGCAGGGAGTACTCTGTTCTTTGATACTATAATAGGCCCCCACACACACACCATTACCCTCCTTCTTAAGTCACTTCAGGATACTAGATATGACCATAAAATAATGTTTGCAAATCCCCATGCATCCCCAGAGGATGACTCTTCTGAGGATGAACACAACAGTAAGGGCAGTGTAGTAGCATTCCTGGGTAACTCCACTACTGAACAAAGTTTCTAGAAATTGTGCCTGTACCACCAAGAAGCTCCTATTGTGAATTGGAATTTCATGACTTCAAAATTACACACTGGTGAACCCTTGAAGTCCATCTTTTATTTGTTTCAAGGGAAAGACTTCGGCTTAGCAGAAAAGGCATTTATATAATTATAAATTACATAACATATAATCATTTTATGATGTGAGAGACGGTATTACTTAAGTAAATGACCAAAACAATGAGCCTGTCATTTTATATTCAGATACTAGCCCATGAACCACAGGAGCAAATAGCTCCTTTCATTGTCTCTTTTCAAATGGTTTACTCTGCAGTGATATATACTAAATTCCAATATAGGGCAAAAAGAAAATATTTTTAAGAAACAGCCCAAAACATAAATCCTGAAATAATAATGATAAAAACATTTAAACTTTATATAAAATTTATAGAAAACCATAAATTATAATTATCAAATCTAAGTTTCATTAAAGTCCTTCACAAATATCATCATAGACTTGAATGAAAACGAAAACAAATTATGACAGAGTTAAAACCAAAATACAGCAGTTCAACGAGTCAGCACAACAGAAGACTGGCTTGCCAGCTAGTACTGCAACACTGCAGGGGTTCTCTGCAGCATCCACTCATCACCACAAAGAGGGCTAACCATCTGGTATCACCGATGATGTCTACTCTGGATTTTTCTTATCCAGTTCTTATGACTACACATGATCAAGGGATCTTGAAGAGTTTTAATAACATTAATTCCAAACAACAGTCAATGATAAAATTACTTAGGGTAAGAAGCCTGAGTCTGACTAGGAAGGGCTGGGTTCGCAGATGGTGGAACAGCTCCTTGGCTGAGAGAAGACAGTTGCTCCGGGGGAAGACTGTAGCTCTGGAGATGGCTCATTTGGGCAGTTCCTGCAACCATGTAGGTACCAGCTTGAGGAGGCCCTGGATACACCTAGAACATCATAACAACACAATTACATTCTCTAAGATTTTAACAGGCATGCCAAACTTTCTTTGTAGAGACATTCAGTTACAAAAAGAACAAGGATTACATCTCTGAAATCTTTTTTTTTAAGTTACTTCTGTTGATAGACATTTAAAAAACCACTTTTCAGTAAAGTTGGCTTCTGAAGATTTTTCTTAGGTAAAACATCAGCTAAACCTGTGTTTCTATACAGAAGTAGTAAAGGAATTTATCTTAAAACTTTATACTAATATAATCTTTTTCCACATTGATATTTTAAGAACTTCCCTAAAAGGAATTCCAAAGGATGTTTAGGAAGTGTCTTTGAACTGTTTTATATCAATAGATTGTATTTGTTTATAGATACAATTTATATTTTCTAAATTAGTTTACTGAACATAGAACAAGCTTTCTAAAGCAGGGGTAAGCGAACTTTTTTATAGAGGTCCAGGTAATAAATATTTCAGGCATTGTGGGCCATATGATCTTTGTCACAACTACTGAACTCAACCAATACAGAAAGTGGCCAGAAACAATGTATAAACTAATGAGAATGGATGGTTTCCAGGAAGTTTATTTAAAAAAACAGATGAGAAGCTGGATTTGGCCCCTAGGCCGTTGTTTTCCTACCCCTGCATCTAAAAACTGTACTTGTTTTAATCTAAAGAGATTGAAGTTTTAAATGCCCCAAAACCTTAAACATACATAATGTTCTAATTTTCTTTATTATTCATTAGATTCTTCCATGTCACATGTTTGAGAAGAGAACTCCACTGTCTATGCAGTAAGACTCTTACCAGCTGTTAACTTGGT